CAGTAGCTGGGACTACAGGTGCCTGCCACAGCACCTGGCTATTTTTTGTTGCAGTTGTCATTGTTGTTTTAGCTGGCCCTAGCAGAGGGGGAGGCCTGGGTATTCCTGACACTGACTCTGCTTGGTGAGGCAGGAGATTGAGGCCTGAGTAAAACTGATTAATTCTCCATTTGATCTTACTCCCAGACTGCAATTTCCCCCTCTGAGCTGTAGATGACTGAGAAGAAAGCAGCTGAACCAAGGACTGGCACTGGGCCCCCGGATGCCTAGTAAGGGGCCGGCGTTGCGGAGAGGTTGAGGCTGTGGCTGCAGACAGGCCTCCCGGGGCTCTGATCTTCCAGTCATGTTCTGTGTGACCCAATCCAATGACTGTATGGCCCTGTGCCTCCATTTCCCCTTGGTAAAATAGGATAAGTCATCAATAGTCTCTGGCTTATCATGACTGTGAGTTAACCTTAGATGTTCCCAATTACCTCACCTAAAGCTTTGTGTAGAGGAGCTGCCCAAATAAATAGCATTGATTATTGCTGGAGCCTGTGAAGGAGCTTCTCGGCCTGATCCCTGTGAACAGCCACCTCCAGGAGCTTCCTCTCTCCTGTGTTCCTTCCCTGAAGTCTCTTAGGTCCCCAGGGCGGTGTGCTGATGGCCTGAGGAGACTGTCTGTGCCACCCACACTGAGCCTCAGGTCACTAACTGGGCATTGTAATTGCCCAGGCTGTGGGGTCCAGCCCTGGCTGTTGACCAGCCCAAGGAACTTCAGTCCTCAGACAGCTGGTAAATCGTCATACCCAGTCAGCCCTGCCCAGGGGGCCAAAGCCCAGCCCTGCCCATGGGCTCCCCAGGGTCACCTGGACTCAGGAGCCCCAGGCCTGAACTTCTCTGTGAGGATCCTAGGGGGACCCCCAGACTAGGCCCTGACTGAGTCCCACAGGCTCCTTCTCATGGTCATGTCTATGGGGAGGGCCCAGGGGTGCTGGTCTGAGACTGAGGTCTCCCTGCTGAGTTGTCCCGTCAGACTGGTCCTTCCCCAGGGAATGTCTGCAGGGTCTGGATGCAGGAAAGCCTTCCGATGTCTGAAGTCTGTCCCACAGTGTGTGTCATGCACTCAATACTCAAATGCCAACAAGGGAGGGGACACAGAGGGGGAGGGCAGGAGCCACCCAGCCTGACACCTGGTATGTGTAAAGTAGAACCAACTGCCCAGCACCCAGAGGTCACAGAATCACTCACGGTACACGTGTAAGTGTCCAGTTGCTTGTTCACTCAGAAGATTTTGCGGTAAGACTTGTATGGTGTAGTATCCTGTGTCATTCTGGGTGACATTCTGCAACAGCAGGGTCCCATTGGGGTATAGTGTCTCTCGACTGCTGTATGCAGGCCCTGGGGTTCTTGTACCAGTGGCTACTACATACAATAGAATTCGATTGGTGCTGTTCACCCTGTCTCCTTTGAACCAGGTGTAGCTCAAAGGAAGCTCTTTCAGATTGTGGATAAGTAGGACATCTGTCCCCTCTGCAGCACTGGGTGGCACGGATTCAGCAGTGAGCTGGGCCATGGTGGGCGGGTTTCCAGAGGTGAGAGGTGGGTCTAGGAGGGAGGAGAGAGAATCGATCCTTATTAGGAACTTTGTATTGGAATGGAAAATGGGGTCTTGGGTTCTGAGCAGGTGTCTTTACCGTCAACCTTAGGTAAGGTTGAGTGTGAGTGTGTGAGAGTGTGTGGGTGTCCCCTGGGTCAAGTTCAGCAGCATGACCCCATCACTTCAGCGCCTCTGGACTGGTCAAGTCCCTGTTTGGAATCTTCTTCCCAGGTGGCTGCATGGCTCAACCCCACTGCCCTCAGACCCCTGCTCACATTCAGGGAAGTCCTTGCCCCTTCCCTGGCCACCTCTTCTAGAGACTCTGAGTCTTCCCCTGGGACCTTTCCCTGCCTGCTCCCTCCCTGGCTTTTGTCCACAGCCGACCTCACATTTGAGATCTCTCTGCTCATCTGTCCTCCTCCCACTAGAACGTGAGCTCTGTGAGGACAGGGACTTGACTGTCCTGTGTTGTCACCCAGAGCCTGGGACAGGCTTCAGACACCTGTGGGTGCCTTAGTGAGTGTTCCCAGGGCCCTGCATGTCCTGGTGTTTATTTGCCAAAAACATAAAGGTAATTTGTGATGCTGGTGGGTAAAGATGATGTTTAGTGCCCCTGGTTAT